AGTAGAATGTTAAATATATTTATAGAAAATCGTCGTATGTGTAATTCAAGTAAATTTAGAAAGTTGTATCTATCACACTCTTTGATTAGGATTTAAATTATTATAAGTGATTAAAAAATTTTATAAATTAAATTAGAAATTTAATATTTCTATGAATTTAAATGTCAATATGAATTATTTATTATCTTCGTATATTTTAAATGCCAAATAAATAAATAATCAGTAGGAAGGCAGAAATGATATGGTTGTCAGAATAGAAAATCGTGGGAAATTAAATTGTTGTTTTGTAAAGTTCCAGCTTTCGGTTATGGCCTAGATCATAAACTCTTGGCCTTTAATAAGTTGAAATAACTTTATTAATAATCGTGCATTATTCAGCTTAATGATATACACAAAGTGCTTTAAAACTAACTAACGTATATATAATTTACATAGAATAACGTGAGATTACAAAGATGACTAAACAGGCGTATAAAATATTCGTATTGAACAAAGTATAAAGAAGGTGTGCAACATTCATATGTATATATATATATATATATATTACAATATTTGAGATATTAAGCTATATTTACAAGTTTTATTAAAAAGATTTTTTTACCATTAGCTAATGTCTTGTTTGTATATTTACTGCTCATTCATATAATCTAATCTAAACAATTGGCTAGTATACATTGGATTACGTGTCTCATTGCTGTAGGTGATACGAACGTCTATGATATCCAATAAAGTCAAATTATTTTGATAACTTCGAAGAAGAATAAAAGAAGGAACACGGATTGTTCGTTACGGGATTAGTATGTGTTTTTATCTAATTTTTTGTGTCCTACTAAATTCGCACGAAACTTTAACGTCTATTCGACAAAGTCTTATCAAATGCGACTTGAAATACCGTCCTAGAGTTTCCTCAATATTTTTGTTACAAATTGAGTCACTTACTTTTCGTTTTCTCCAAATTCTCTCTCCACGGCAATTAGCAATTAAATCTTCATTTACAAACGGTAATGGGCATTGGACGCGCGTCTATTTATAAATGTGTGTTGACGAATTACTCGCCAACGCATCGGTCAGCAAACATTTAGGAATTAATGCTTTAAGCTTAAATGATAAATGAGTGTAATGAAATCTTAGTTGCAATTTCAAGCTTTCTCGACTTGTATGGCTGTGCAAAGAAAATTCAAACGAACATTGCACATACCTCGGTAATTACAAATGACGATTAATAGTGCACTTGTAGGTGGTGATAGCTAAACAGCAGAGATTATGTTAATTGATTGAATAATTTCATAATTGCTACCACAATTTAAAAAAAAAATTTTTAGTAAACTTGGTAGACTAAGTAGACATAAGATATTATTATTATTATTATTATTTATTGTAAAAAAAATAAGTACAATTTATTTTAAATTTATAATTAAATATGTCATTATTCAATTAAAATTAATTGGATAAGATTGCATTTATTGACTTCCTCACATTGTTCAACAGGCAATTTTAATATGACATTAATTAATATTATATTTAAATTATATTATATTCAAGTATGAAAATATTAACAGCATCGTATTTGTTCGAGTATCAAATTGAACATTCAATTTTTACAATCGATTATTATAAGCGTATATACATATATATAAATTTGTGTGTGGGTGTGTGTGTGTGTAACGTTCGTCTGTTTTATGTTCTTAAATACTTTCAATATTTTGATTGATTTTAGGATTTTTAATAAATTGAAGTTTGGATATAAATTTTTTAAAAATGAAAAGTTGAGATTTAAATTTCCATTATATTATTTCCTATTAATATCGATTTGTTATTTTATGATTAAGCATGAGAAAGGTGAAAAATGTAAATATACTCCCTAAAATCAGTGAATTTTTTATTAAAAATTTCCAACAAATGCTTTTTTAAATTCATTACATATTTTTACAATTGTATCTATAATTCATTCGACAATGATACACGTTTCACTAAAATAACAAGAATTTGATTGAAATACGGGATAAAGATATCCCTACATAATCAAATAATAGAGATAAATATTATGGAAAAAGTAAATTTAAAATTTTGATTTATAATAAAATGAACAACATGCGCCGCTGCAAATTTGCTATTTGTAAATGATAACTTTTCTAAGAATTTTAATACCAACTGAAAACATAAAAAATGAGTAAGAAGAAGTTTCCTCGAATTTCTCAATGGACAGTATCACTTTTCATGTTTGCTCAGTGTCATTAAAATATGGAGATTTAAACTCGTATTAAGTAAACAAATCTAATTTTCCTATATTATTTATAAATCTATGTTAATTTTAATCGAATGAATTAATTGAAAACGCGAATCAAGATAAATCCAAGACTATGTTCTACTAAACTCATTAAGAAGGTCTTTGATTAAAATATTCGAAAAAGATTCATTTTGAACATTATAGAATTTCTCTTAGAAATTTCATAATTGTGAGTTGTAATGTGGCTGTCTTTAGAATTCTACAACGATATTTCGCTTTCCATATACAGAAAAGGTATATCTTCTTTAATTGAAATGAGCTTTCACGCAAAGCAAAAAGTACTTGTGGTGCAGAAATTTAGATTGCTTATATAAAATTGGCTTTTTAAATACTATTGGCGTATGCGATGTTTTTTTATTTTACGTGAGCTCGTTAAAAAGTTTAGTAAAACGGATTTTCAGTAAATACGGTATACTTTTTAAAGAGAAATATGGAAATTTTTGTCGACTGCAGTTTAATTTTCGCTAATTCCTATATGATTAATTTGTTTTAATTAGTAATTAGTCGTTCAACTTGTATAGTGAAATACTTTTCAAATCCTGAATAGATAGGATATTAAGACTAGTGATAGTGCAAATTGTATTTCACATAATACATTATCTTATAATCAATATATCAAGTTTATTATAATAAAAAATTCATTTAAAATATGTAAATAATACAATAAGTGTATACTTAATAAATGACGAATTACAATAATCTACATAATTATAATCAATTTTAATTTATTGTTTTTTGTGTTTATTGTAATTCAGTGATTTTAGTCCAAACGTTTTGAAATATATTTTTGAAATATAGTAAAAAGAGAGAATTTAGTTCAAAAAGTCATCAGTATACACAATTTAATTTAATTATCTCCAATTTTTATAAAAAGAACGAAACTATGAGTTAGCTTTGAATAATCGTTCGAAAAGTTATGATACTGTGCATTTCAAGTAAATTTTAATTATCAATAATTATTACGAATAATATAAATCGAATTAATTAATCGAAATTTATTTAATAATAAAATACGCAATATTACTACAAATATAAGATCATCAAATAATGTTTTATTGTGTATGAAATTATATAAATAACATATTTGTATGCTAATAATTAAAGTGAGTTCTAATAAAAGTAAATTGAAATATATTCAGCACGTGAATTAAAATAACGTTTTAGAAACAAAAACTTTTATACAACCTATAATTTCGTGTTAATGTAATTCAATCAAACTCAATTTATCGTATGCTTATAATTAAATATGAATAAAAAATTTATATATTAAACCCTTTTAACGTGAATACTTAAATTATTATGTCTTCTACAATTTATAACGAGATGATACTTACGTTTAACGATAAATAATTCATAGATCAACTACGAAATAATTCACAACTCTCTGTCCTTCCCATGTAATGTACATTCATTCATAATCAATAGTAATGTATGACTCGACATCATATATATTTATATATAAGTCCCTGTATTTGTTCGTGTTTGTATATATATATAAGTGCGTGTATAAATAAACAGATCAATACTTAATTTTCTGTATTTCCGTTAGTACATTTAAAATTCATCCAGATATAACATTTCATTAAATTATTTAAGATGTCGCGGTAAATAATATAGTGGAACGCTTACTAGTTTATTCAAACGCTCTTCAATAGGAAACGCTATAGTGAACATAGAAATTTGACACGTCACAAAAAATAAATTAATCGGTATAAATCTTAATTTATAACATAAGTCTTCAAACTTTACGATACTCTTTAATATAACAAGAAATAAATTATCACTTATTACTGGATATCTTTTATTGCATCAGCAAGCCAATATACATTTACATTAGCTTTTCAACCTTGACACCTATAAAGCTCAGTATTATAATCGTAAAGCAATCAATTATTTGGTAGAGAAGAGAAGAGTATAATACTAGATAACTACATTTTTCCCCTTTAGTCGGCTTGGAAATACCGTTGGAAAATTATCGGCTCGATTGCATCGCAATGGTCCAAAAACAAAATATGCCAATAACTTACTTCTTGCACAATATATGCACAATGCGTTTAATCATTTAATTATTTAATATTATTTAATATTATTTAATTTTTTATCAGTTTGTTTTGAGGATTTAAGAGGAGTAAAACATAGAATAAAACAACACGTATTTGCCTTTTATTGTTTATTCGATAAAACAATATACATTTTTCACACGAGCATATTATACAATAATTTTATTTTGTTGTAACAATATTCACTTACTAAATATATGAAACCTTACTGTCTACATTATCAGTCGTATGTACATGTACTAGTTTTTACAAGTTACAAACAACAACTTGGCATTATATAATATAACGCTATAAATACCACTTACCTTCCCATAAAAATTCGAGCTTAGTGCTACATTGAACCCAATAACAATCGTGTACTTTTTATATTTGCCTCCCGCACGTTACATTGCAACGTCGAAATATCTTTACTATTGTTTTAATATCCGGAGTCGAGCGATAGCGAACAAAAGGAGAGCAAAAGAAAGGAGAGAGAGAAAAGAGGGAAGTAGGTTAGCGCGTGGAATGAAAAGACGCTATCACAATAGAATCTTCCAACGGCCTCTTCCTCTAATAGATTTTCCCCGACGCTCGACTGAGTCCAAGGCTTATGAATTGGGCGATACGACGGCCACTAACAGACAACTCACGTGCACTTGATTTTTCATTTCCAGCTTCGGACTGCACAGTTAGCGATTGGAGCGAGTGGTCCGAATGCAACAACAAGTGCGGTTTGGGCCATCAGACGAGGAATCGTTTTATCGTGCGTCCGAATCGTAATGGCGGCAAGGCCTGTCCGGAAACCGAGCAGTCGATGACCTGTCAAAATTATGATTCCTGTCGCCGACGTGCTCGTCATTTCCAAGTCGAAGGCAAGTGTTTTCAGTGTTGAACCGTCATGAGCATGCGTTATCATTTTTATTATGGACGCTATCGTTCGTCTATTATTTCATTTAATGATGTCCACTAACTAACGATCTTCTCTAAACGCTTTTCTATATCTAATATTACGAAAATACTAATACACACGATAATACTTTTTTCCAGAGCTTTCCATTTCTACTTTCTCCGCAAATTTCACGTTCTTATTTTACAAGCTCTTTGCAGAAATGTCTCTTTCTTTTTTCTCTTGATTCATCACGAAGCTTAAACTAGTTCCTCGAGAAATGTCACTCTTTTTTTTATCGATAACTTCGTAATTTATATAATACATGACTTTATATTTGCAACCACAATTTTACAAAATTCGATGATAAGTCTCATTATAACAAAACGATTTTCTAATAGTAGTAAAGCTAAATGCAACATTTTAAAATTTATTTTAGCGATTGATATTAAGAATCAATAGGAAAGCTGTAGTTAGAGTTTCAATTCTTTCATCAACAGTTGTAAAAAGAAAGAAAAAATTTCGAGAAAATATTAATTTTATATGTATTATTAATCATTCATAAGCGAATAATATTAAAAGAAGTTTAACTAAAATTAAGTTAACAAGATTAGTATTGTCATATAGTAGAGTCAGAATAATATAATTGATTAGCATAGTTTAAAGTTATTCAGCGCGCCAGATATTTGTATAAGCAACCAATGTAAATATCTCGAAAGTATCTAATTTATCGTTTCATCATTGTAATAAAGAACTAATATTTTTCAGAAATTAATCTTTCCCCAAGTCAAAGAAGTGAAACAACTTTGGATTCAAACTTCTTTCCACAAGTTTTCAGAGGGTAAGTTAATTTTATATTCTCTCCTTTATTCTCTCTCTCTCTTTCTCTCTCTCTCTCTCTCTCTCTATCTCGTTCTATTTTTCTGAATACTGATTTAATTCATAATCTATTAAAAATTTTAAATAAAATTTCCTTTAGATTTATTTATAAATCATTTATAGAAATAATAATAAGAAGTAATTTTATATACTACAGCTTGTGAATTGAAGGAAGAAACATTCAAATAACATATTAAATAAATGCTGTTTAATTTAATTATATTCATAATAATAAACTTATTTATAATAATAACTGTATTTGATAAAATATTAATGAAAAGTTAATTGAAATATATATTAAAAAGTTATCTATAAAGACCATATATTAAAAACTTAAAAAATGAAATAAGTTTTGATCAAGCTGATATGTCAATTGAGGTCCAGCTTTTATTTATAGTTCACAAGAAAGTTCGGCTTTACCAAGTTCCAACGTCAGAAAAAGTTAATTGTCTAATTACATTGCTTTATATTCCACTTAATGATTTATATGAATATAATATGATAAAATATTTTTCATTCATAATATATTATTTTTGCGTACATGTGTAATGTTAAACAGTATGGGTTTCTAATTGTGGACTCTGATTACGATATAAGCATATTTTGAATAAAAAAGTTCATTGTGGTTTGTTAGTGTTGACTCAAGAGTATAAGTAACGAAGACCGAAAATTCTGTTTTATGAAAGAATAAAGCTATTAATAAAACAAAAAATTTTTAATTCTGTATGTAATAAATATTAAATTCAACTATAAACGATACGAAAATTTTTTAAATGATTTATATTACGAAAACGATGCTCAATAAAAAACAATCGATTGAATAATTTACTAGAATACTTTAGTTGAATACTAACTTAAAGAGCATAAAAAAAGTTTTAATTAAAATATCCGGTTAAATATTGTTAGCATTTGCGTGAAAAAGTGCGATTCAAAGTACAATTTATTCTGGAAAATATAACTACAAACGAATTGTGTCTAAAATATTATAAGGCTTAATTATTAATAAGAATTGTTAATAATAAATAAGTTAATATTCTCAATTACATGAATTACATAAAACTATAAATAAATTTAGTAAATTTATATCTAACAAAGGATTGAAGAAACAATTATTATAATACATACGCTTATATGTAAATGAGTTTTAAAGTTGATTTTTTTTTGTAAAAAGTAAATTAATATTAGGATATTATAGATTGTAATTTTTATCAATAATCTCTTGATAACAACTCTTTTTCAATAATCGTATTTCATTAATTCAGCAATTTCACTGTACTTATTAAGTATTAAAATAAGATCTAGAGGAAATAAAAATTTAAAAATGAAAATATGTGCTTTAAAATATTAATTGAATTATTGAACATTTTAATTAAACTCTCATATATTTAAACAGAAATTGCATTAAAATAATAATAATAATAATTACAGGAAATTTTCTTATAATTTAAAGTAATTCAAACTTTTGTCAATTATATGTACCATAAATGTAATATAATTACCAAAATATAATATTAAACACAACACATTTTTGTTTTTCCAGTCACGTAAATCAGAAAGTGAAAAATATTAATACAAATGATTAAGTACAAATATCCTACATAATGAAACTATTAAAGCTATATATATTGTGAATATTATTCTCATTTAAGGTCAAAGATTATTAAGAATAATTTAACATGCTGAAACCCACACAGTTTCCCAAATGAAAAATTATGTATCCAATTAATAAATGAGACATATAATCATTGTTCGGTCAAATTCAGAAGTACTATTATTAATTTAACATAACCCTTTCGAGTAGAATTACATTCGAGAAAAAAAAATCACCGAGAATTGGTTAATCGAGATGAATTTTCAGTCGTATCAACAAGACCCAACGACATCGAGGAAGTAACATTGCAGCTAAAACCGTAATTAATTGCCGTTTAACTTTGCTAATGCATACATAGATAATCAATTAGGTACAATGACGTAAGAATTACTACAATATATACGAGGATATCGAATTATACGTACCAACGGTTGATGGTCATACCGACAAAGGTCCATTATTATGCTTCTGTTTCCGCGAATTTAACAGACTGTTTTAGGGAATACATTGGTACTCCCACTATGAATTAAGAGCTGTGTACTTTCTTAATTATTATGCGGCCGGACTTCATGGTTTACGGCACTTCGGCGTTAGTTAGTTAATAAGGTATTATACTACTCGGTTGCGCTCGAACTAGAGAGTTTACGGAATTATAAAGTTCAGAAATGTTTCCAGTTTAGTGTTTTCTATCTTTCTCCACTGCTAACGTCTTCGATAGTTCGTTGAAAAACGAGTTGTTGGTTAAGTATATAAAGAATTCATTTAATATGTTAAAAGCCCAAACTGCATGAATTAATACTTATGTTTGATTAAAAATAATGATTAATTAATTATTAGAGATTAAAAATTGTACAGAACTCTATTTGTCTGCGTTGACAAAAAAAAACCGATTAGAACTATTGAAAGCTTGTGAGTCGTAATCGTAAATTTAATACTAATAAAATAGTTCAAATATAGTGGTATTTGCTATCTGTCAAAGTTGCCGAAACAACATATTTGGCTGATTTTCTAAATTGGCAATCATTCATTATTTGATCGAGCAGTGGCTCTTTTCATGTATATGTTTACAAACAATGAATTCGTATTCATAGGACATAAATAAGTCTCTAAAATAAAATAATAAAACATTTAAATAATGAAAATTTTTATTTTGCTTTTTATTCTCGCTTTACATACTATGTTATTGATTCGAATAAAAACTGTATAAAATTATTATATCATTGAAAATAATTTATACTTTAATACATTTAATAAGCAATCATTAATAATTTAATAAGCATGTCGGATAAAAATAAGTAACAAAATTTAATGTACTAAAGAAAATAATAGAAGTTATAAAGTATCGACAATACTATAAAGCTATAAATTTGGAAAATAAATTAAAAAAATTTCATCGACATATCAATTACGAAGTTATTGAATTAACAGTTTTTTTTAAATAAAATGATATACTGAATATACAATGATTTTTATGGAAGGTTGTTATAAAATTAGTATTTTTGTATAATTAATATATCAGAATAAACAATAAAAAGAAATGAACAGCATGAATTCGTTATTTCCATTCTCTGTGTGTATATCTATATTATTTCGATATTGTAATTTTTATAATAAGTAAATGGCACTGAATATATAATTGAAAACTACATAAATAAAAGAACATTTACAGTAAATATTTTTTTAGTAGAATTATTGCATAATAATAGCAAAATGAGAATGTATAAAGGAAAATTTTATTATAATTTGTTTGCAAAATAATAAAAATTTACATACTTTTATATTTGAAATTTCTACATTTACTGAAATGGAAGAAAAACATTGATTTGAAGACTAGTAATATTATATATGTGATAGATAAAAAAAATCGCACCTTACGTATCCATTGTTGCGAATAAAAATAATAGATTTCAGTGGGAGTTAGCCGGGTCTAAAAATTCCATGAAATAGTTAGTTTATATCATATTTTCTAGAATGGTATAAGATACTTTTTTTCAGAAGATACGAAAAAGAAATAAATGTTTGAATTGATAGAGTAAAGAAGTGTTTTCTCTTATATTTCAGCAAAATATTGGTAGGATAAAGTTAAGAGTGAAAAGTCATGTCATTGGTAAAACATATAATAGTACTTTATATACAATTCTCAAGATTTGGAAAATTTAAGAAACATAAATATATAATGTTATAAACAGACGTATGTCTATGCGATACATATGGTATTTCAAATAGACTACTAACATAATTTTGAATGCATAAGGTCGTCCATAGCCATATTCACACATACAGATACGCATATACATTTGTTCATATTGTATTTAAATGTGTGGTTATGACGATAAAGTTAACGATAATATTAGTGCATTTTTGTCAACAACAACAATAATAATACTAATAAAATAGTTTAAAATTTTTTTTAAATATTCTTCGCAAATGGTTCTACGTATGTATGTATGTGTAGATAGTATTTCCTTAGATTCCAGTAGACAGTCCACACATAAGTCGTTTTTGGCCAAATGCCAACTTTGCGCATTTCTTTTGCTTCGTCCCTCGGTAAACAACAGGATCGAGATAATATTGTTAGGGCTTTTAGCGAATAGGATGCATAAAATATCTTACCAATACACCTAGACATAGCCTATACATCTGGCAAGTTCGTATTCGACAATACTCAATATGCATCCGTTAGATGTACATACGTAAGTGCCCTTAACGTTTCTCCTCTCTCTCTCTCTCTCTCTCTCTCTCTCTCTCTCTCTCTCTTTACATTGTCCTTCCCAAATCAGACTCCCTTTACCTACATATACTGCCCTCTTGCTATGGGTAGATGCAGTTGCTGAAAGGTTAAAGTGCCTTTTTATCCTCTGCACAAGTTTATTCTGAATACTATCATCACGTTTAGTTGTTCCGGAAAAGAAGTTGCTGGTTGCAAAGTCGGTTGGAACTTGGTGAGTCGCGCGAGGCTTTAAGCTTTTATTGGACGCGTGTAATATAAAATTTGCGGCGGATAAGTGTGCAATTTATGGATTTTTCACATCGCCTTAGACTAGCTGGCGGAGGCTTGCGACACTAAAAAAGTCTGTTTATGAGATGACATCATAAAAGTATAATCGCAATATCCTAGAAATAAAGTTATTCTGGTCCGAATTTTTGTAAAACATCTGCGCTCTTACTTCCTTACGTAGATGCTTAAACATGCAAAACTAACTTTTTCATTTAATTGATAATGCAATAAAGGTGTAGTGTAGGGTACTTGAATAAATGTATTCTGTTTACAGTACATTATTTCATTTACAATATAGAAATGACTAAACTTATAGAATTACTAAATCAAGCATTGAGAATAAAATGGTTACTTTATTTTGTCAAATTTAGAGATTCGAAGCATATCATTTCGTAGCGCGTCGTAGCAAATATGAAATTTACTAAATTAATATAAATTTTAATGATGTGATTTGGTTATTCTTTATTTTTGTTTTATTATTATTACACATATTTAGAATTAACTAAAGGAGACCACTAGATGTTATGTAGTGGGCAAGTGGAAGGGTTAGTGCATTGCTTAAATATTTAACACATTTGCTTTTTATCGCCGTTTATTCCATCAATTTTCCAAATACGGCGATGATTATTGTTGATACAGTTATAAATGTTGCTTTCTTACTCTTTGACGATTGGCAGGTGGCGTTAGTGTGTACTTCGGTTGGTGATAGGAGGTTCTAAGGTTCCTGATCCTCGTGACGCGGTGCCCTTGATGGTAAAGAAGATCGAAACAAAGTGTCTCTGGCGGCAGCGCCTTCAATTGGCTGTCTCACCCCTCACCTAGAGTTATAGATGAGGGGGAAGGGGGTGTCTTGATCAAGCGGCAACATTTGGCTCACTTGACAACAATGTATGCGTGATGTCTCGTGACATTGAGGGCATTGAGGAAACGAAGATTACCCGATGTCGCACGAGCTGGTTTTCTCGTTACAATGAATTTTAGGAAATGTTTTTCTACTCGATTGTTTTCAAATATTTTAACTATTGAAATATTCTCACGTAAACAGACTCGCCGCGTTCTTACCAGTAAGCAACAAAGGTCACTCCATTCCGCTTTCCGAAGTTCAATATTTTTCTTAAAATAATAGATTTTGAATTTTTCCCCAACTGATAACATTCGCGAGATTCTCTGAATCTCGAACAACACATGGTATTGAAATTGAAATTATACGACTATTTTTTTGTAATATTTGAAAAATATTTTTTTAACATTAAAACTACTGTAATGGTTCGCGACATATGTGTATAAATATATTGAGAAATCTTAATGCGAATATTTAAACAATTAAGAGAAGTGACGAGAATTTTACATTAAATACTTTTCTAGATTTATGTAAATGTGTGCTAAATATATATAATACTAATATATTATGTATATAAAGTTTTCCTGTAAATTTTTAAGCCTTTGCGGTTTATTTACGTATCCATATCTTTTAAGTTATATACAAATACAATTAACAACAATCGCAGAAATTTGTTTGTTGCATTAAAAGTTTTTAAGATTTGTATTATATACTTTTTAACTAAATAATTGTGAAATATGGTTATAGAAATTATACTGCTTTAAGTATATGCATTATAATATCAAAACATATTAATTCTTCCATTAGTCTGTTCAACTTGAAATAAAAAATCTTTTTCAAACATTCTTAATTAATAAATCCATGGAAACTTTTCAATATCAATTTCCTATAGTATAATAAATATTTGAAAACTTAGCTTTTTATCTTCAGCATACAATTTATAATTAAGATATAACTTGATCCTGTAATGCTTTATTTATAATAATGTTATTAATATTTTTAGCTTGGAACAATTTTAGTATCATAACTAGTAAGTGTGTTTTCTTGAGAAAGAAAAGTTTCATCTAATTAACGTCATTATGAAAGTTACAATGGATTCATTAAAGTTCCATCCGTAATATTATAAAGTATTCATAATGAAAAATTTGAATTATTATTTCTTGTCTATTCATACCTGTATTATCTAAATGTTATCGAATGTTTGAAAGAAGCGTAATTAAAGTAAATAATGAATACAATTCTAATTTAAGTAAGTTTAAATAAATAATTTTAATAGTCTTTTTAAATGCTTTTATAAATATCTAAAATATCTTTCAACAAAAAGCTGAATTATTAGTTGTCAGTAGATGGTTATGTAATGGTCAATCGTATTTTAATACATTGAAACTTTTGAAATTTTTATATGCCTATAATCGTTAGAGCAATTATTCAAATAAAATTATGTTTCATTATTGATTATATTTATATTAAAAATTCATAAAAGTATTGGTTACCCAAAATGCAAGAGGATAGATAAAAATGAAAGGGGATTCGACATAAGAATATAATTATAATAAGTAATTATTTGCATTAAAACAAATAACGAACAAATAACGAACGAGTAAATAAATAAATATGCCGATCACTTCCACATGAAAATTATAGCTATTATGGCTAACTTTTCACTTAAAACTCATAATTATCCCTTCACTGCGTTTTGAAAACAGTATTCGAGACAATGGAGTACTCAAGAAGATATATACATATTTTAATATCCACGATACAAACTCCGTTTTCCAAAATACTTATTTCGGAATGTATTTTCTTGCAAATGTACACGTACGAAACCAAAATTTAGTGACAGTAATGACATTACCGTAACAATGGCTACGCACGGTCATTTTACTCATCAATTGCCTGTCTAATTAAGCATCGAAGTACATCGGTCGACTTGATATTCCCTCGCGATAATCGCTACGTAGCGATTGTGTTAATGAAGCTTCGATAAACGTAATCGATATGTGCGAGCTTTGGATACACATAATTTCTCTCGATTGTCATACCTTCACTTGTAACGATCTTAATTTGCGTATTGCCGAGAGCGACTTATGTGCTTACCTTTCCCTATATCTCATCAATTTATTAGCAACAAGATTTAAATATTAATTTTTGTTAACTAATGTTGCTTTAATCGTCACTGATCCATACAAAAAATAATATACACAATCACCTGGCAAATTATACGTTTAAACTTATAATTTTCCTGCTTAGTGCTAGAATTATATGGCTCTTTGTATTAGTTTCCTCTTACTACCGTTTTAATATTAATATTTAATATTTAATAATAATAATAATAATAATAATAATAATAATAATAATAATAGCAACATTAATAATAACAATAATAACAATAATAATAATCCGACTACTCGATATATAAGACAATACAGGCGAGCGTCTAAATGACCGATTTCGTTAAAAGTAAAGTACCGATAAGATTTACTAATTTAAAGCTGCAGACGAATTTTACAGATAGGCGAATAAAAGAAACGATTCTCATTTCTCTTCGATCTCCTGGACATCGATAAAGATTCGCAGCGATTATCTCGCGACTGAGCATATTTGGAAAATAGCCAAACGTCGGTTGCTTTTCTTATTAGTCTGATGCAGTAGAACAAGGGGGTGGGGAAAGGCGATCATTGTTGCGTATTCGCGGCATCCCTTGTTCAGGGAAGATTTACATTGGTTTCACGAGAAACTTCCTCATCCAATCGGGCAGCATCGTGTCGACGGGATCATGGGATGGTGGATACAAATTAGCAGACAAGAATGGCTGGTCAGCATCCAACGCTTGGGAGCGCAGATTTTGCATGGTGACGACATACGCTGATACATTCACTTCATACGCATTGTGTTCATACCGTGTAAGAATATGGTGTATGGCATCTCACGTGTGAGTCGTAGCACATATTCGCGTAGGTGGCTTCGCAAGGTGGGGGAAAGTATACCAATGTATAAATGATAGCACGACCCGATAGAGGATCAGGAGATTTTCACCTCCTACCGCTGCATGTAGTGCATACCAACGCCACGTGACAACTCCCATAAAAATCTCATAGATTCTGAAATAGTCTACGCCAAATTGTCTAGGATTAGACTAAAACGTCCCAGTGATGTTCGGTGGGAGGATTGTTGGCAAGTGGAAATGAAAGGCGTATTTATTCAATATTAACACATAGCGTATCGTGGCGGTTTCCCTTTTATTTATAGTCAGATTACACATAAATATAATGCTTAGATAGTGCAGAGAATCTGTAAGATCTTTTTGATACTTTTCACGTGGCGATGGTATTCACTACCTGCAGCGGTAGGTGTAAATCTCTGGTACTTCTTGGACTAGTGCCACGTGATGATAACGTTCTAATCTCTGCCCTTATAGCCGGTGACGTATATTTCAACTGTGACCGATCGCGGGACTGTGGCGATTCAAAATACTTAACAAAGCCGTTCGATGCTGGCGCTCTTGCCCTTTCAATAGATGGTTTTTCTTTAATAAAATTCACAGAAATTCAAATCTTACCTTATTCTATGATGAGTGTGTAGGTAGTGTGCTTCTAGTTTAATATTCACTATTGAAATATAATCAGCACTCTTGACTGCTTAGATATGACGCACTTAAATGGTTATCAATTCTTCACTGTTGTCATATTAGATTATTATTGCAGGGTTTGGCAGAATTATGTGCGTATATTATGATTTTATACTTTACTGGAATGTGGTGGAGTTAATAACTGTTAAACGATTGATTAAAAAATGATAATATGCGATAACAGATGTGTGAACGATTGGTCAAAATACAGTACCAGTGTGTGGCGAACTGCAATTAAATAGTAGAGTTTAGCAGTGCTTGGGCTTGTTGATAGGCACAAAGTCTTGATGACGTCAGAGCGAGCCTCCAGAATAATCGAGAAGTGTAGACGGGCAGTACCTTGGACGGTTTGTGAATTGTCAATAGTCGTTGCTATGGGGAAATATTGTAGAACGCTAAACAATAAGGCATAGACTAATTGAGAATTCGTGGAATCAATGTTTACAAACATAAACGTCCGCGAGCTTGTACATTTCCCTATATAACTTTTCTTCTAAATTGCTTCAATCCCGAACAGTTATGTTAAATATATATTAAAAATAGAATAATATCTTTAATTATCACTCATTATTGTTATAATTATGATAATGAATAAAAATTATTTCCAGATACTGCACAGCCTTTACAATATTAAAAATCTCAAAAGGCTGTCGAAGAAGATTGGAATCCTTCTATGAAGGTACAGTAATGTTTCATTTCTCTTGAGACAAGATAATAGTCACTGTCATGAATATCTATAATTTTTCAATTTCAATCGGAAAAAGGAAGTAAAGGTATTATCGAGATGACTAAAGATCAATTGAAAGCACTTTAGATACAACGAATTATTTCAGATGGCAATTTTCATTAAATACAATGTCGATACAAATGATATTGAAAATATCAATTTTTAATCCAAAGACATATCATTTATGTAATTTATAATATTTCATATTAAACATATACACCCACTTATAATGCTTTAAATAGTTCCATTTTAACATTATTATATTTTAAATAATTCATATAATTCATATGATATATATTAATCAATATAAATTCACATGAATATACGTTTTGCATTGGTCACGTAGTATCATTTTTTTCAAATTTATTTTGCATATTTTCTATGTTTCCAATTCCGCTCGCGATACTAATGAAATCACAATGAAAATATTAGCAGTTTTAATCGGTTTATTTCGCGACTCCCTTGCGTTTCCAGTCACTTTAATCAACACATAAATATAATTTTATCAAAAATATCTCGTTAATAAAGCTTAAGATCACCTGCTTCAAATACCCCGCACTCATGAATATTACACAGACACGTTTCATCCTAGTTTCATGAAAATTCAAAATCAAGTCAATTTCTGCCTCGCGCGTACCTGTACATTGACACAAATAAATCACGATCCGCAAAATCACTGACATAACGCTACCAACCAGAATTTGTTTATTAAGAGCCTCGAGATAGAGTATTAGAACCTATTCACCCGTTTCGCCAATTTTCATTATACTAACGCGCACCTAGGAAAAGTTGGACCGTTACTACAATAGTCGTCGCATTCTCGCAATCGAGCCCCACGAATTCATTCGCCTAATGCTCTGTCTCGGGGGGGTCGCAGCCCTTAAATGACTCGACATCCCCAGTGATAATTACGCGACCCGTTTTTCGCGCGCAGTGGTTCTCTTTGGACTTGAGCGTAGCTCGAGACGAGCCCGACCAACTTTACGACTGCTCCTCGTCGACTCGCGTTCGCATCCTCGCAAATCCTTGACTTCGATGCTCATCTGAAGCTCCCAAGGGAGCGGAAATTACCGAAAACCCGGCCAACTACCATTGGTGTACGACTGTGAGAAAAGTACGCGACTTCAGTTCTACTCGCGAAACGGTTGGTAACCACATGCAAGAAAGTATAAGTGATTTATGTGCGCTGTTGACTCGCGCTCGCAATCCAGATGTTCCATTTTTTTAGCGACGTATGAATTACTATGCAATTATAAATTTTATTCTCTAACAGCGGGCATAGACGTGACATTCCGAGAAAGCCATTTTGGCAATTAGTTTTAAAAAAATTTGAAAATAAGTTAAAAAAAATTTATATTTAATTTTGTATACTTAATATGTATGCATTGTTAAACGTTACTTTACGTAGATGCAAACGTTTTGTTTAACTCTTACAATAACTAGCGTGCACTGTGATATAACTGAATTTTGCATACTCGTAACAATGGTGTCATTAAATTCGCGAAGTGATACTATTGTTTATAGTAATAATCGTTTTTCAAGAACTCAAAGCGGATGTGTGAATTACGAATTGTTTTTTGCAAAAATTTTTGATAAAGTAATAGAGATATATTCTACAGCTAAAATTGTAGATAATTTCAATTATTTATAAAAAAAAAAAAAAAAAATCAATAATACTTTGTATTTTGCAGACTGGTACAAATTCTTAAAAACATAGTAGATTTTAATAAATCAACTGACTTAAATGAAAGTTATCGTAATATATTAAGCATTTGGTTTTATAATAGGCAAACTTATAATAAACAATCTGGTGTTTTCTTATAAAATTTTGAATGCGCATAAATACTTTTATTATTATTTTCTTTTATTTTTAATATACTCCAAATTTATAATAAAATAAATATAATGCCGTTATGTTGTCAAAGTTACGAACAATACTTAGCTGCTCGTATATTGTCCAAGGATTACGTTTATTATTAGAGGGGCATAAAGGACTGCTGCAACATCTTGTTTTGAAAGCTTCTTAATGTTTATATAATATTTATTAGCTCCCTTGCGCCGTTGCGTCGTATTAAGATATTATATTATTATTATTAATTTCGTTTCTTTTTTCTTTCTTTTTTTTTTTAAATAAATATAATGGAATATTGAAAGCATAAAGTCCCGGAAGTATTTGTCAACAATTAATATAAATGTTGAATAAATTTTTCTCGCTGCTGATCGAGTATACGGATTATTTAATTGAAATTACAATTTAATTCATTCTTATAAAATGATTCCTAGATTAATGTTAAAGATATGCGCTCGGTGACCTACACTTCTAGTCCAGAAAAGTTGATGAAAGCTGAGATTTAATCGCACGGTGCATTACCTCTGTATTTTACTAGTTATATTCTAAACCTTTGGTATACGCAGAGCATAAGGTACTTAACTTTTTTTTTACATCGAGTAATCGTTGAGTTGACTATATATTCCGTGGCTATTGGAATAAAAGCAATAGTCGGAAAATTGTATGCTCGTAACTAAGAATTTAAGAAGGAAATCGGACGTCCTTACTTTCTGCCCAAGCTGGCAGCCGACGAAGGATTTTCCATCATTCTCAGCTACCCAGATACGCTGGAAAGATGTTGTTTGCACTAACAGCCCACTAATGTTCGCAGGCTCGCGGGTTTGCGCCTGGTGCAAGGAGAACGGCGAGCAGTCGCCGGTTCCCTCCTGCCAGAGCCCAGGACCGAGCTTCGCCGGCATAGGAAGGTGGGAGCTGCTAAACTCCTCCGACCTGAAGCACTGCCATGGGAAGTGGATGGCCGAACCATACGAGAGGACAAGGGAAAACTGCAGCGCCTCCCTCTGCCAGGACAGGCCGATCCTCGTCTTCGTCTGAGCTCCCAGTGACGACGAAGGGGTAGGAGGGCGACAGCGATTCCCCGACAGCGGAATGTATTTCAAATACTCCGGGTTTTAGGTTTAAGTGCATCAAGCAGATTCGTATTTATCAATAAATGGCCGTATAAATTTTAATTCTTCCCTTACTATCCCTTGCCCAACTCCCTTCCGGCAGTTTACTTTTAAACGAAAAAAAAACATTATTTACGACTCTTACAAGATTGATGTCATGTCGATTATTTACAGCTAAGCTAAAGCGAAGAGTTGTAGATTTGGGAAAGAAAACTGAAACTGCGATTGGTATAAATAAATGTATATTGGCATGTAAGTGATAAAATATTGCTGAATTTAAAATTAATTTGAAGGCAAATTTTCAAATTTTGTTACTTTATCTATTGGAATCGATGCTTTAAATGAATGAAGAATTGTTATTATATATATATATGAAGAAGAAAAAATGATTATCGTTTCAGATAAAAAAAATTTTTAATGAAGGAATTTCTCGATTCTATTAGGTGTCATAAATAACAATAACCATAACAACAACGACATTACCAAACAATAACAATAATAAACGCAACAGATGAGCAATAACAAAAATAATAACAATAATTATATATCTTACTAATGCTCCGACTCATTCGAATTTTTTTTTTAGTATAATTTTAAATATTGTTACTTTTCCTTACTTTTTGACTTTCGCTACGTTTCCTTTATGCACACATTTTTTTTCAGTTTCTAAGTTATTTGCGTAGTAACTTGTGAAACTTCAGAAATAAAAGCCGAATGAATTTATAACACTTATATTTGTGTTAGTGAACAAAAGAGAAAAAAAAAAGAAAAATAGAAAAATGAATTAATAAAACTTTTCTATTCAATATTTCTCTTTCGTATCTTTTACTATACGATCATCGTATTAAATTCCATTAGAATAAGATTTGTAATTTAATTTAAAGCTTCATTGTACACTTTCTTTGAGTAAATAATTTTATTTAGATTATATAGAATTCTCATAATTGCAAAAATGAAATTTTTTTACACCAATTCAATTGAAAAATATATCGCATTCGAATCCTCAAGCCTGCATAAATGTAAACCAGATTTCAATTAAAATGAAATATACAAGCATGGACTCTTTCAAATGAAAAGTAAACCTCATTGTCCTCATTGTTACAAACTGAATTTGATATCTTTTGTCATGCGACGGCGAGCACATAAGCTGACCAAGAAACAAATCAACAAGAATTATTATGCATTTAAAAAACGAATAATTTAATTCAACAATTCCAACAACAATGTGAAGAATTGAAGAGGGACAGCTTATGAATGCAAGTAATTAAATGAACAGTCGATCCCTTTTTATTTATCTAATTTATTGAGCGCACGTCGATTCTATAGCTACTAAGTAATTTATTCCCAAATGATAAAAATCAGTCGAAACTATTTAGATTATTTTGTAGTTTTTTATGCTACTCTTTTGTAGCTTCCGAAGCTTCGCGTGACGATACCTGCCTATCAGAGGGACTCATCGTCGTGAATTCACAGAGCTTTAAATCTTTACGTAAATTTGATTCGCTAACCAAGAATTTAAGTCGGACGGGAGATTTATTATTCGACTGCTTATGGGCCGCCGACTATCTTTCGTAAACGAGGCGTAAATTCGTGGAGGCGCAGTGTCTGCGCAAGTAACCTTTAAAAGGAATATAGTGATTTACTATCAAGAGGATTATTGCGTTTTCTAATAACCTTAATAGAAGAATTCACTATGTAATTGCTACTTGTAACGTAAATCATTGCTGCATAATTTTTTAAAATAATATAAACGCCTACTTTTGGCTTTCCTAAGAGTGCTTTTAAATTTCAGAATTTTCGTTCATTCTCTTGCATTAACTATAATACAATTCAAAAATCATTTTCTTAACTAATGACATCCTCTAACAGATTTTCAGAATATACAGAACAATAGATATTAATAATTGTAATTAATATAATAACAATTTAATGCGTTTCTAAATAATGGCGCACTATATCGAAATAAAAAGTGCATAGAAATTTAACGGATGAACTGCCTAATAATGTCGTGTTGTCTGAATATCATCGAAGACATAAAATCAATCGTCGTTATTGATTATTTTATTCGTAATGCATTGAATGTGGCTTAAATTAGAAGAAAAAACACACAACAGAATGTCACGAATGAAGGCAATAATATTAAATACATGGGATATAAATTTTTAATAAAATCTCTTAATAAAATTAAATTATCTTGGCTAACAAAGCAAATTATTAATTTTTATTAGGATTTACCTTATATTACATCCTTAAGTATAGACAAATAATATCCATATAGATTACAAATTACGGAGAAATACATTATAATAATATACGATTCATAATTTTATAGATTTATCTTGATATGCATTAGAAAATAAAATTTTACAAAGTTAACAGAGACGGGATGAAGCTAAAAGAAAAAAGAAAGAATGAAGGTAAGTTCATTATATTCTGTAGTGGAATATATATTGAATGAAATAAAAGGAACTAATTCAGTTATGACGATTACAATTGTCCGAAACGGACAAGACGAAGACAAATTGTCATCTATAATGTTTATTCAATCAGAGATAATGTAAATATTAAAATCAAAAATAATAATTGATAATTAGAGAAATACTTACAGTGTCAGACCTATTGAAAAATTAAAATTCATATTTTTATAAACTTTTTTATAAAATTTGAAATAATACTATAGTAAAGTAATACAGTTGTGAAAATTTCATTATTTATCTTCGTTAAAGGTATTATAATCGTTATTAATGAATAATCCTAACAAATAAAAATTGTTTGAAATTTTTTAAATTTTCAATAAATCAATTGTAATATATAATTTACATAGAATATTATTATAAACTAAATTTATAATGCACATACATACACTCGAATGAATAAAATATTTATTTGAATTTATGGAAAAGGCAATGCGGAGCATAGCCTTTTTTTCGAAATAATTAATAATTACTTAGAGTTCAATTTGATATAAATAAAATACGTGTTATTTGAGAAATATTTTTCTAACATTTTATGACATACTTTGATACAAAATTACTTTAAATTATTATATTTATCTACATAAAGAATTGTTACAAGTATTTTTGTAAATCTGAATAAATTTAATTGTATTCATTTATAATTTCAACAATTTTCGAATGTGAGTCTAAGTGAACGTGTCGTTACCCAATATATAAAGCGAACAATTTAGGTCTGAAATTATAGTAAAAGTTCTATCGACAGAGCGAACTGTTACAATGTTTACATTGTACTACTAAATAGTGTTTATATAAATATTTAATGACATTGAATCATGGAAGCTTCAATTCTCTAAAAAAAATTATTCATATAAGTTTTATCAATGAAAATTCTTTTTATTATTATCTTTATTATTGTATTTTTATATCTTTATTATTATCATACATAAGCCATACACGTTGTACTTCGTTTTTGTTTAATAAATTATAAATTACAAATAATAAATTGAATATTTTAAAAATAATATGCTTAAGTTTATTATACTGAATATGCATGCAAATATAAAAAATATTGTTTACAATGACTGTAAAGAACCTTATCAAGTAAATGAACTCTGCGAAAACAGGAAAATATGAATAGATAGTATAATACTCGTCGGTTTTCCGTACCAGAAGTTTTCTTATTATAATGATTTACATGCTGATATGAAAGACCCAGAAAAAAAGAAGAAAAAAGTGAGAGAAAGAAAAAGATATTTTGTGGCAAAGCGACATAGCTCTATCGGCTCAAAACTTTTTATCGCCGAGAAAACCACAAGATCCTGCACGAATGGGATATAAATTTAGCCATAATCGCAGACACGTCTTTATTCAGCGTCTTTTGTTCCATTTGGTTCGATCGACGTTTGAGGAGTCCGATAGCGTCAGCAGTCAAGTATTTCTCTTGAATAACCTAAATTTAACGTCTCACAGGTATTAAACTTTCGCCAAAATGAGTGCAAAGAACCTACTGCTGTTGTTCGATCGTCCCCATGAGCCGGTTTACGTGCCAAAAGGCAACAAACAAGTTGTCCTAGACGTCCCGACAAATTACTTGGTATATGTCATATTTATTTAATTTCTTTATAAACATTTTCCTATAATACAAATGAATTTAATGGTTAACCGTTTATAAAGTTTTAACGTCCAGAGCATCTGTGCAATATGCACACTACGCAATATACTTGATTCCTTTGTTTAATCTATAAAATGTAGCAGTAATCAGTTTTAGATGCTAAATAGTCTTATCATTTCCATATAAATACTAGTCAAAATTAATTATCAAAACTTTCTTTTTCTCCTCGTTTTGCACATGCTAACGATCATTAAATCCAAGACAATAACGTTTGAGTGACAAACTTAGTTTTTTTTTTTTTTTTTGCAAATCAAGGCACAAGCAATATTTCATTGAAACTTAATGTTGGTCCAGCTGATGATAATTAAGACGTATTCTACTTTTCCGTAACGTCATATTTTACAGCCTGAAAAATACCAGCCAGTTGCCAGTGAGATTTTCTCCCGCGTTGGTACCTCGTCCGAGACATCGATCCCCATAAAACAAATCGCCATCCCTGACTTGAGCCTGCCATTATCGCTTGGCCGCCGTGATGGTTTCTCTTTATTCCTTCCAGCTCATCAAAAAATGGCGTCCAATCTCGTCGAGATCTTTTTGGGTACGCAATTTTCCATTTATCATATCGCTTTTACAATAATCTCTTGAAAATTTCACTTGTGATAAAAATACTTCACAAGGTATGCGAACCGTCGAGGATCTATTGTCTCTTGCTGCCTACTGCCGCGATCGCATCAACTCGCAGATGTTCGTCTACGCATTGTCGATCGCCATTTTACATCGCCCGGATACCAAAAATCTTCCAATTCCGCAATTGAGCGAAATCTTCCCGGACAAGTATATGGACAGTTCCATCTTTAACCGAGCTAAGGAGGAAGCCAATGTTATGCCAACCGGTTCACGCGTATGTCAAATGTCATCTCGCAGCATTCATAATTAATATTCACTATTGGCTATAATACATTTTTAATAAAGTAAATTGTTATGAAATTACAACTATGCAACTACTATTTTACGTTTAATTTCAGCATTTGACAATGAATGTTACATTCTATTATAATACTATCAAGGATCTATTATAGTGTTTATACCGTACTTCTAATATCTTTTCGAAGGTGAAAAAAACTTGATATTCATGAATTAGAAGTTAATTTTCTATTACTCGTGCAGAATCATGTAAATTTATTTATTTATTAAAAATTATTATACAAGTGATCATTTTCAATGGAAAATAGTACAGATAGTTATATATATTTTATAAGCATAGCATTTTTACATAAGCGAATGATGGACGATAAGTCATAAGGGTTAGATGTACTTAAAATTTAAGTCACTTGTAAAGTTGCTTACTTCAGAGTATATCTGAAAGCGTTGAAAAAGTTTTCAATTAACAGATTGGATTGGTAACGGTAAACGATTCGCTTTTTTTGCCCAAAATAAACGTAGATTCCCATCGAGATCCCTTTGGATTACACGGCGACCGACGCTGATCCCGAGCATCGCGTTGCTTATTGGCGCGAAGATATTGGAATTAATCTCCATCATTGGCATTGGCATCTTGTCTATCCATTTTCCGGGCCGATGGTCGTTGTCAACAAAGACAGACGTGGCGAGCTCTTTTATTACATGCACCATCAAATTCTAGCCAGGTACATACCTAAGATTTCTCTCTCTATTAATTGTGACATGCTTTTCTCCACTTCAAGTGCTAATATTAAACGATGAAAGATTTCTCTGACGCTTAAAAAATATTCGTTCTCACGAAATGTAGTTAATAACGTTTTTTATTTATTATCATTGTACTTGTATAATCTTATCATTAAACTAAAATGTAAAATTATAATTTGCAAATAAGTTATAAATTATTTTACGATACACTTCTATTACACTTGCACTGCTTAAAGTAGTTTCCCAGTCAAACGCAGAGCAATATATTCAGTAATTGTCCCAACATAGAAACAAAAAAAAGACCAACAAAAGTAACCATCAACATATTCCATAAAATCGTATGACTTTTACGAAACGCCGCACCGTCACCCAAAACACATGCCTCTACTAATAGCAATAACGAAGTCGCTAACACTTAAAACAAGGACAACTAGATCTCCACTACCTAATCCACGATATTGTCTCACCTCCTTCCCTCCCGCAGATACAATGCCGAGCGTCTCTGCAATAATTTACCAAGAGTACGACGCTTGACAAACTTGCGCGATCCAATCCCCGAGGCATACTTCCCCAAACTGGATCAAATCGTCGCCGGACGTTCCTGGCCGGCGCGACCCGCCGGCTACAGCCTCTCCGATCTCGACCGTAAATCCGATCAACTGAAGATCGATCTGGCGGACCTTGAGCGCTTCAGGGATCGCATTTTTGATGCCATTCATACGAACTCGGTGCGCAATAACGCAGGGAGTACAGTGCGAATTGACGAGAAGACGGGCATTGACGTACTCGGCAACATGGTCGAGGCGAGCATCCTCAGTCCCAGTCGAACATTTTACGGCGATCTTCACAATTTAGGCCATCTTGTGATCGCCTACTGCCACGATCCCGACCACCGCTACCTGGTACTAACGGGTTGTATTATTATTCCATTGTCTTTGGTAATGGGTCTCTGGGCGAAGCTCGGCTACCTCATTTGCCGACATTATTAATTAATTAAATCTCTAGATTTATTCTGCCATCGATGACTAGTTGAAAGTCATTCTTAGCCTTTGCTATTCCGTAGGAGTCTTTCAGCATTATGGGTGACTCGACAACGGCCATGAGAGATCCAGTTTTCTACAGATGGCACGCATTTATCGACAGCCTCTTCACAGAATACAAAGATAGTTTACCGGCATACACTCTGCAGCAAGTAAGCATTGAAATATCCATGATATTGGAGTTTGTAATTGCGGTAATTGACGGCGATCATTAAGAATCGCTCAAGCGTAGTCGTCAAGGTATTTACATGCTGTTAAGATATTGGGAATACGTCGACAGATTTTAATCCACTGCTTTTTATTATACTCGACGCATCTCCTCCATACTACTTATTTTCATGAATGATAGTCTTTAAAATATGTTTACATATCCCGTGGGCTTACTGAGAATTTAATTAAATCCAACTTTTAAATAATTTATGTGCTTTTCTTTATGATTAGTAGGGGATTCAACTTTTTTTTTTACAATCACTAGGATAAGCAATCGTTTAAAATCTCATAATTATTCAAATTACTTTCTCATAAATAATCTTTATTTACGAATTAAGTAGATAAACTTTTCCCTCGAAATAGAGAAAATTTTAGTTTTATTATAATGTTCTTATTTCGATATTCGAGCAATTGGCTCGATTTATTGTGATAATAATTATTTCTAAGCTTATAAATTAAACTACATTTTCTTCGTGCACTATATGCATAATGCATTGCGAAATCTGCAACTTAACTACCTTCTTATTATTCTTTGAAATTTGCTTTTAAAATATATTGCTTTCAATTCCCGTCTATTCTATATTAAATAAGTTCAAACTCCGTCGATAATAATTTCATTTAATTTAAATAATTGTAGCTGGTCTTCCCAGGCGTCAGCGTATCCAATATTCGTATAAATACCTCAGGGGCAAATCCCAATACTCTGAACAGCCATTGGACCAAAAGTGATATCGATCTATCTCGCGGCCTGGACTTTACTCCGCGAGGATCAATATTCGCTCGAGTTCAGCACCTCAATCACGATTTTTACACCTATACCATCACCGCTAATAATTCTAATAATAAAGAGGTGCTTGGAACTGTTCGTATTTTTATTACTCCCAAATTTGACGAAACAGGACGGCAATTAACATTTAACGATCAACGGATGCTAATGATCGAGATGGATAAATTCACAGTTCCACGTACGAATACACAAACAATTAATTATTACAACTATTTTAAACTTTACATTTATTATTATTATTATCAATATCGACATTATTGTTATCGTTATTGCTATATCATGCAAGAATTTTTTTCAATGGGTTGCTCTCTTATTTAATAAATTTGCGACATTTAATGAAGTCACGATAATCTTGAAACCAGTAACTTATAGTAGAATAAAATTATCAAGACTTTACGTCAACCGCATTACCTATCATTTTATGACTTTGCACCATACGGAATACTTTCTTATCATATAGTAATATTAATGTTTCTAATGTAGTTTTCAAGAACCAAACAATGACTGTACATACAGCTTACACAGTATTTTTTTCATATATTTTTCACAACAGTGTCCAGAGGGCAGAATATAATTAACAGAATGTCCAACGAATCAGCGCTGACGATTCCGTTTGAAGCAACATTCCGCAACGTTGATGAGAATAGGCCGGACGAAGGTGATTTTCAGAGTTTCGATGAATTTAATTATTGCGGTTGTGGATGGCCACAACACATGCTTGTGCCTAAGGGCACAAAACAAGGTTACCCCATGGATATGTTCGTCATGATTTCCAATTACGAATTGGATAGGGTAAAGATTTATATAAACATTTTCAAATGCTCAGATCTTTTATTACAAAAGAAGAAAACCACATTTATTTCAGGTGAATCAAGCAGATTCTCGTGGATGTCGCGATGGCGTTAGCTTCTGTGGATTGAGAGATCTTAAGTACCCGGACACCCAGTCAATGGGATTTCCATTCGATCGTGTCGCCAGAGTCGGTGTCAATTCTTTACATGACTTTTTAACACCAAATATGAATCTGCAACAAATAACGGTTCGATTCAACGACGTCATCAAGCCACGTCTATCTTATAAAAAACAGACTAATGAGTCTGCCTCCGCGAGTCTAACGAAAGATTAGATAAGGCATACTTTGTTGGGGAAATTATTGATTTGAAGAATTTAAATACTACTCACTGATATTTTATTTTATATATATATATATATATATATATATATATATATATATAGCATATATATTGCACTTGAATTTTCAGATGAAATTTAAAGTTTTGAATATTGATAAGATGTGAAGAAAAGTATAAAATAACAATATACACATCTATCTACATAAACATATCGTTGCATTATAATTATTTAAACCTTAAACATTACTATCCTTTTCATTATATTTTATTTAAAACATATATAAAGTAAAACAAATACAACATCTAATGAAATTTTAATCATTTTATTATTTTTAATGCACCGTACATGTAAATAAAATAATGAAAATCGTATATTTTCGGTGTATTTCATCATTCGCCATTATTAATGCTGAAAAACAACAACAGTAATAATAATAATAATATCTATAAACTATACTCATCTATAATTTTTTTATATTATTATTAATACTATTAATACTATCTCATAATATTATAAATTTCATTATTTACTTGAAATTTATTTTTGAATTCGAGAACTGGAGGCTTTTCGATTCATACATATTAAAAATAAAACAAAATTTTTCTTTAAAAAGTCGTAACGACGTGTCAAAATATGAATGCGTCAAAAATATGAAAGATAAATCCTTAACTGAATATATGTAAAATATTGTATTGTTTGCAATAACTGAATAAAGGAGACAAGTAAATTAGTACTATAAGAAAATGATTGTATTGAAATATTAAGATATATTATAATAGACTAATTAGTAAAAGCGCCAATATGTAAACAAATTTTAATACCTACAATGAAATTATAAGCTTCCTTCAAATAAATGAAAGCAGTATAAATAAATTTTTACTATGAATTTAATTATTAAATGTAAATGAGGGAAATGAATATTTTTTTAATTTAAACGATAAAATTAATTACTTTAAAATATAATTGTATATGTTAAATATTTATTTGTTCTAACAATATTAATCTCTATCATCTAATTTAAATTCATAGATCATTATTTAAATTAAAGTCAATGTATATATATGAAATAATTAATTATAGAACGAAGAGAAATCGCCAATTAAATAAAAATTTATAACAGAACATATGAATGATTTTTTTAATAATATACACTAATAAACCAATATGTCCAGTCCTTAATTTGCATTCATTGATAATATTGTTACAAAGTGAAATATAATGGAAATCATATATATTGCATAGTAATTTTCCATTATTTTTTTAAAAATTATTATTTTATTGATTTTAATAAACACAGAGTTTGTCATGTATTATCGTAAAAATGTACTAATAGCAGTTTATTATTGGGAAAGTATATATATGGATATTAGTCCAAGAAAGTATAATTTAATTAGTTAAAAAATAATAATAAAATGCAACTAAAATATTAGACTTAAATTGATATGCAGTAATGGCATATGCAGTTAAGAAAAATATTTTTATTTGTTCAGTGACATATTGTAAAATCATTTTCATTTTTTCCAATTCAATGTTAATATGAATGCATCTCATTGATTATAATAAAATTAATAAGAAATTAAACTTTTAAATTATGTATTTAAATATTTGCTTGGATATTCTAAAATTTAATAAAAAAATGTATGGCAATTGTTTTATTATTTTAAATTATTTTAAAACTATTTTTGCAAAATTGGATAGTAAAGAAAATTCTTTCCCGATACTGCATGCACATGAGAATGTCAGTATACTTGAACATTCAATTTCTACTGATACTGTTTCATTTTATTTTAAATATATTTAAAATTAGTGTTTTTATAACAAGCTTTTAATATATCAATAATAAAAATTTACAATAATATATTAGGTTTACAATAATGAAATAATTATATCAATAAAAATTGATATACAAATTGCATATTATGTAATAATTAGAGAAGTAAAATTTTAAAAAATATATATATTACAACAGAAACTATGTTCGGTATAATTAATTTTTTTTTAAACTTCGAACTCCTTATCAAAATATATATTATCAACATAAAAAATTGAAAACAGGAAGGGATGAGAATTCCACGGTTTCTACATAATTTGGCTATAGATTTGGCCAATCGTCTCACACACTTAGATTTAAATTTGGAAGGTTCCCATACACAGTGATAATATCGCGGAAATTTTGTGGCTAACTGAAGATGCTGTGAGAACTTGAAGTTTATATCTTCAAAAAACCGCAAAGATCCTGCAAAATTTGAAGTATAAATGCTTGCAAAGAATGTAAGGCAGCACATTTAGTAATTGCCGCTTCATTCGAGTGAATGAATGCGTGACGAAAGTAAGGAATCAAAAGTTTTAATTTGCTTAAAAATAACCAATAAATTTCTAAAGTCTTACGGTGATTACCAATAGCGAACTCGCGAAAATGAAAAGAAACCTTTTGCTCCTATTCGATCGTCCTCATGAACCCATTTACGTACCCAAGGGCGAAGAAAAAATTAGCTTCGATATTCCAACAAATTACTTGGTATTACTACAAGCATTACTCTATTATTATTATTATTATTATTATTATTATTATTATTATTATTATTGCTATTATTATTATTGTTGTTACTATTATTATCATTATTCTCATTAAAATTATAATAATTATTATTATTGTTGTTGGTGTTGTTGTTGCTGTAGTCGTTATTGTTTGTATTGTATTAAAATTTTTTTAATTTAATCTTAAACTTGAGAAATAATGCTTTAAGTGCTAAAATATAAATAAACGTGTATAAATGATAATTTCATTCATTAGCTTTCGACAAATATAATTCGACCATGTGAATTTCATATTTATCACTTCATTGAATCATTCATTCATTGACCAATGTGAAAGTATAACAATTTTTTTCAATTATGGAATTTGTTCCAATCTTATTAATTTGATTTAATCTTTGTAGAATAATAGATACCAACCAGTCGCTAATGGAATTTTGAGTCGCTTTAATAATGAATCACAATCATCTGTTTCTATAAAGCCAATTTCTATTCCTGATTTAAGTCTACCATTATCGCTTAGTCGTCGCGATAATTTTTCATTATTTATACCATCGCATAGAAAAATGTCTGGTCAACTGACTGACATGTTTTTGGGTATGTGAACAGCGTTATCATATTATATTAATTTTTTAAATAAAAATAAATTGTAGTTTGAATTACCGTTTTATCCAATATTTATATTTTCACGTGAATTATAAATTTTTTATCTAAATTAAAATCTGTGTATTATGAATATTAATAAGTTTCTTCTACGATATTGAAAATTTTTTCATTAAGAAAACATGACAAAGTAGAGATATTATTTATAATAACCATGACGTAATTATATATTATTAATCTTTGTTAATTATGAGTCAAAGGTCTACAATCTATATTAGCTATGAATTGCAAGGTATTGTAATTTTGATTTATTCCATTTAATATATTAAAACCAATTTTTTTTTAAATTAGAAAATAATAATTCATTAGAGTATGTTTAAATTGTTAAAATATTGTTTAACAAATATGGAAGACTTAATTAAACGACTACAATTTAATATATTTAATATACTGTATAATTTGACATCAAATGATATAAAATTTATTTAAAATGAATCTAATATGCAGAAAATTATTTAACATTGTATTTGCCATGTATATATGTGTGTGTGCGTGCGCGAGTGTGTGTATTTATAATGTGTGTTTATGGTGTAATATCATTTTACAAGGTATGCGAACCGTCGAGGATCTATTGTCTCTTGCTGTTTACTGCCGCGATCGAATGAACGCGCAGATGTTCGTCTACGCATTGTCGGTCGCCATTTTACATCGCCCGGATACCAAAAATCTTCCGATTCCGCAATTGAGCGAAATCTTCCCCGACAAGTATATGGATGGCTCTATCTTCCATCGAGCTAAGGAGGAAGCTAACGTCGTACCTATTGGCTCACGCGTAAGCTAATGTTTAATTTTAACTATTCAACTCATGCTTATAGGCGATAATGATATGATAAAAAAATTAAAAATAAAAAAAACATTAAATTATTACGTGATACTTTCAACTATTGCAATTGGAAGGTATTAAAACTATTCATATGACGACGTATTCTTCACATAAAGATTATCTGAATTTCATGAGACAATGGGTATTATCGTTACACCTTCCAATACAATAAAAATAGAGTGAATGTCATCGATATTGATAATGCAATAGAATTAGTGTCAGCCAACTTTATAAAAAAAAAAAATAAAGAAAAAAAACTTAGACTCCCATCGAAATCCCTCTGGAGCTGACGGCGACCGACGCTGATCCCGAGCATCGCGTTGCTTATTGGCGCGAAGATATTGGAATTAATCTCCATCATTGGCATTGGCATCTTGTCTATCCGTTTGATGGACCTTCTATCGCAGTCAACAAAGACAGACGCGGCGAGCTCTTTTATTACATGCACCATCAAATAATGGCCAGGTAAGTTTGAAGCTTCAATGAATAACGAACTTTGCTCTATTAGAATTGCGGTTTTAATCGCGATTGAATGGCGTCCGTTGTAAAATAATTACCTATACACGCGATCGATGGTAAGCTCAGTGTTAATTATTAATATATATAATTAAAGCTCAAGTAATACACAAAGTTCGTGACAAAGTTGGGCTTCCCTCGATTATTGCGCCTTAATCGTGCGCATATCGTACACGCATACTCCCAGCTCCGTGTAAATATGATCAATACGATCGTAAGTCAATAATGATGAATAGAGAAGCCGATAAAAGAGATCTTGCGTTGCTGTAAATATAATTTTCTTGGCCATCTCTTAGATATAATACGGAACGTCTCTGCAATAACTTGCCACGTGTGCGCCGTCTATTGAACCTACGCGAGCCCATACCCGAAGCTTACTTTCCAAAGTTGGATCAGATGGTGGCTGGACGCGCTTGGCCTGCTCGGCCAGCTGGATTCACCCTGTCGGATATCGACAGAAACGCCGACCAGCTGAGGTTCGATCTATCGGATCTCGAGCGCTATAGAGATCGAATAATAGAGGCCGTCCATACGCAGTCAGTGCGTACCGATCAGGGCGGTATTATACAATTGGATGAAGTCACGGGTATTGACATACTTGGTAACATCATGGAAGCTAGCATTCTCAGTCCAGATAGAACGTATTATGGTGATTTACATAATTTGGGTCACGTAGCAATTTCGTTTTGCCACGATCCTGATAATCGTTATCTGGTACGAAGGATAGCTTATTATCTGTTTTTAATATTAATGTTGCCAATCTTATGCTTGTTGTATATTGTAATTCGATCGCTTACGAATAGTTATGTGGACAAGTTACACTATTTTTCCAAGCTTCCTAATCTATCCAGCCGGCTTACTTTCTCGCATTTAAAGACATAGCTTTATTAATTGAGAATTTTGTCAATGTTTAGGAGAATTTCGGCGTTATGGGTGACTCGACAACGGCTATGAGAGATCCCATTTTCTACAGATGGCACGCATTTATCAATAGTATCTTCACGCAGTTCAAAGATAGTTTACCGGCTTATACTAGTCAACAGGTGAGCAATGTAGTTTCACATTTTTATTGAAAATCCAACGAGCGTATATAATAATGATAACAAATATGATAAAATAACAGCATGGATAATGGTTCGGTTGTCAAATCTTTTATCCCCCACAATACATAAATCTAATACATGTATATAATCAATGTAATATATGAATTTATGGTGGATTTGGAGTTTGGGCAATAATTATGCGTCTCGTAGCTTTCGTTTCCAGGAGTCACGGTAACAGACTGCCGCATTAACACTCCAAGAGCTAATCCTAATACACTAAGCTGTCACTGGAAAAAAAGTGACATTGACTTATCGCGTGGCTTGGATTTTACTCCCCGAGGATCAATTATGGCTCGCATACAACATCTCGATCACGATGAATTTTCATACAGCATCACTGTGAATAACTCGAATGACGGAGATGTGACTGGAAATGTACGAATTTTCATGGCGCCCAAATTTGATGAAACCGGCCATCACTTCAATTTCAATGAGCAAAGGAAGCTTATGATTGAAATGGATAAGTTTGTCGCTAAATGTAAGTTTGTAGCTGAATTAAGGGATTTGCAAAATAAAATTTGCAAAATAAAATTGGGATATTTAGAATTGAGGAAAATTGAAAAATTCTTTGGCTAGAAGAAAAGCTGCCCGTTATTCATTAGTTGTTTTTAGTCTTTTTCTTACTTCAATTATATGAATTATAAGAACTTCATGTCACATAATAGCTTTTCGATAAATAAAATATCTCTTTCTCTGATGTTACGAGAAAATCTTTTATTGTACGTTGAATATTACGACTTGAAAGAGTCTTATTCGACTAATTTATCAAAAATTACAAACATCTAACTTGCTAGAAAGCAGTAAATATAGCGAAAAGAGAAATAAATTGGAAAATAAACATTAATAATATATTAATAATTAATAATGTATTTATTTATTTATTAATTTTTTGTTCTGTTTTGTTTAATAATGAAATACGTTATTGTCGCAGTGAAACGAGGGCAAAATATAATATCGAGAAAGTCGGTAGAATCCTCGTTAACTATTCCTTTTGAAGCGACATTCCGAAATTTGGACCGAAATCGGCCAAATGAACAGGATCTTCAAAATTTTGATAATTTCAATTTCTGTGGTTGTGGATGGCCACAACACATGCTTGTGCCTAAGGGCACAAAACAAGGTTACCCCATGGATATGTTCGTCATGATTTCCAACTACGAATTGGATAGGGTGATTTTTTCTTTCTTTGTTATGCTTTTCAATTTACATGAACAACTATGCAAAATCAATAATTTTTCACAAGTAGCGCCTGTGGGAATGAAAATTTGGCACAGTTTAAGCGATTATAATTATAATTGAAATTGGTTGTAGGTGATGCAAGCGGAGCCAAGTGGTTGTTACGATGGAATCAGCTTCTGTGGATTAAGAGACTTAAAGTATCCAGATGTGCGCCCTATGGGTTTTCCATTTGATCGAATCGGACAAAATACAGTAGGGATGTTAAATGATTTCCTTATACCTAATATGAATGTACAGCAAATTACAATTAGATTTTCGGAGTTTATAAAATCCTAATTGGTAAGTGATGTAAATATTATTTTATATTTTGAATGCTTAAAATAATATCAGATAATTAATGTTGTAATTGTTATACATGCTCTACTTATATCATATATTTATTCCAGAATAATTTAAAACTTTTGATATCAAAATATCATCCATTAATAATTATCAAGGGGCTATAAAGATTGATTACATGATTTTATGTGTATCGAAAATAATCCCAATTACTTACAATATTAATTATTATTTCTCTCATATTAAGTTCAGCGTAGAACATAAAGTGCTTGATAATAAATTTAATCATAGAATTTAAGCATACGATATTTGATTTATAAAAGTTATATACTTTTTAAATTTTGAAAAACTCCATTCTTTCAGAACACTTAATTACTCAGATTTTCAGATTGGTTATTGCAACTTAATATATATGTAATTAAAAGATAACCGGAGATTCACGAAACTTAATCGTATAAGGGTGTGAAGATAAATAGTGCATAATAATTTTTCTCTTCAATTTTATAACGTCAATTAATTAATGTTTTGAGTAAGTAGTTAACAAATAAAAAGGAAACTAATTTTGTAAAATCATTGCATTAAATGTATTACTAAATTGTCTTTTTTGCTGGAAAAATGATGTAAAAATGCCGAATTTCTATTTTACAAACCTGTTTACGATTAACTCTTTTTAAAATTTAACATTAATTATTATTTTAACATTTACAATATAAGTGTAGATATATAAATTTGAGATTTCAAATTTATTGTTACAATATAATGTAAAAAAGAGGAAAAGAAAAATGATTAAAAAAAATCGATATTGCACTAATCTTTATTACATTCCTTCTTCTCTTTCTCTCAGCTGTTCCTTTTCATTGTCTCTCTCTCTCTCTCTCTCTCTCTCTGCCTCTTGCTCTCTCTCTCTCTAATAGCTTAGTTTGCCGCCCTCGAGATATCCAATTATAAACCACTCTCGTACAATAACAGTTAACTCTCATCCGTAGAAGAGAGCAAATGATTCTGCTTTCCATCTATCGGCGTTAAAGATTGATGCGCCGAGAATAAAGGAGTAAGAAGAAACGGGAACTAGGCGCTGAACTGAGTTAATTATACGCTAAAAGTCGCCTATTTCTCCTCCTCACAGCTCCCTTTAAAGATCGAAACTGGTTATTATCGAAGATAGATAATGTTAAAGCAAATTACATTGCGACTTAACTAATGTTTTTTGTGCATTTAGTGACTATACTCGAGTATTTTCCTGAATCCACAATTCAACGTACATAGTTCACAATTTAAATGGAAAGTATGAAATTTTTTAAAAATTTAGAGGTGTAATTATTAAATGCTATATATTATAGAAAAAAATATTTTAATAGTATATAAAATATCTCATATTTTATATCATACTATTTAGAAATTTCTTACTTAAGAATCAAATTTTATTTCATATTACATTCAAAAGTTCCTAATAAGTGAGTGAATATTTATAATATCCATTGAACGTTGAATAATAAATATCTGAAAATAAAATGGTTATAACAAGGCCTCGTATTAAAATAAAATAAACGTTCAAATTATTATTTTCATTATAAAACGTAACACATTACTGAAACAAATTAATGCTTATGCATTCGAGGAATTTTATTACTTTTCTACGTAAATCCTATATTACACCATTAATCGAAGGAATATTTTTCATACCTTTTTACTCATTGTAGCTTACATAAGTCATTAAAGTTTGATTAGTATTAATTAGTTCAATATTACGTCATTATACGTTTTATTTATATACTTATGTAGTTTTAAATGATTATGACAACTCCTGAAAAAGCAATCTTTGTTGAAATTCCAAAGCTGTGCGCGAGAAATTCAAATTTATTCGTTCACACTGAGACTTCTCTGCTTACATAAAAACTACTGCGTTACGCTAATTTCAGTTGGGTAATAAATTTCACATTTCAATCAGCAAAAATATCTATTAATGGAAGCGGATATGATGCCGACATCTTGTTCAAGGATTAAATCTCGCAAATTTCTTTATGGACGTAATATATAAATAATTTGAATTTATTTGTCTCGCGAGTAAATTAAAGAACAAATTAGTTTTCTATCATGAGGGTTTATATCGATTAAAGTAAATTACACTGATGAATTATAGCAAATGGACTCTCCAACGTTTTTCTTACTTACTTGACGAATTTCTTACTGACACGTTCACAGCAACGATATTGATTTTCCACATTTGTTCTTTTTACTTTTTCGCCCGACGAAACATCATCGTAGCATTTTTATTTCATGCAATCTCGATGATAATCACTAATTTAATTCGATATACGAAATAATATAATCTTACAGCTAATTGTCTAAATTCTACTAAAAGTAAAATTTGAAATAAAAATTATCATTGTTTTTTACATTAAGTTTTCAGCTTGCAGCAGTGAAGGATGAATGAATATATTTCAATTTTTATTCATAGTTGCTTCAAGTTTATTTTAATAATTCTACAAATTCACATAGTTCATTTCTTAATTCCGCAAGATTTAATTATATAGTGGTTGAGCTACACATTGAATATAAATTAAAACGCCTTTTAAATATTCTTTCAAAAGTTTTATGAACATTTCATAAGTGAAAATCTCCTTGATTTGATTTATGATGTTGAAATCTTAGCGCTATTAACAACTAGTATTTTAGTTTTAAAATGTCTAAAAATAGCTGTGAATATAAATAAAATATATATTAATTATTAAGGACTTTATTTCAATATTAAAAATAAGAATTCAATTATATGTACTTATTTGCTTATTAATCTACTATCATTATCGAATTAAATAGATTTTCTAATTAAATTTCAGCTATTCTTTGTGCTATTATAAATACTATTCATTCACTGTAATTAATGCGAATATTCAAAGATAAAAATTTATAAAAATAATGCATTATTATATTTGTATTTTGAAATTTATGTCAGTGCAATATTGTAAGAGTAGCACACATGACCTTTCCCCTATTTGTTTGACATTATCTTGTATCTTTTGATAAATTTCATTCGGCCCTTCGCTATTGATTTCCCTTTCTCTTACATACCAATGCGAGACATAACTCGTCACTTGGATAATCTTAAATTGTCCAAATCTCGACGGCGAACTTTAAAATACAATATAATAAGTCACTACACACATCCATAAGATCTTAATGTGTTTTTATACATCCAAAAAAAATTTAATTTCTCAGGATTTTATGCTTTGCGGGATCAATTCAATTTAACGATTCTGCACATATAAAAATTAATACTATAGCAAATAAATATTAATAGTATATAAATTAATAGTAATTTTCCCTGGCTAATATATAATTTATTTTTATGCTGATTTACCGCATGTAATTATATATTCATTAAAATTAAAGTTTTTTAATAGTTGGATAATTGTTGGAATTGTGTTATTTATTTTATTATTATATAATAAATATAATGAAAGAGGAATAGCGATTTTCAAATCATTTCCAAAAATATATATTAGGAATTATTCAAATCAATCATTATTTATAAAAAAATAATTTTTCTTTTATTATATTGAATATGTAACGAAAACCTCGATGTAGTTTAATAAAAATAAAATTAGTCAAATACAAACTGTTAAAATTATAATACTTTGTATTTCATATAACTAACAATAATATTTCAATTCGATATAACATAGGAAATTAAACAAATAAAATTATCTTTAAACTAAAGTATGCAATACACAAAAAGATTTTTCTTATTCTAATATCATTTTGTGATATATTTAATGTGCATCAATTGAAAAGAAACTTAGAATAAATTCGATAGAACGTTAGAAAAGAATTTTATATGTAATCAGAAATTAAAAAATATAATGTATATATGGAGAAAATCAAATATTTAATCAAAACGCTATAACGTTCGTCGATTGCCTCATTTATTTCTATATTTTATGTGTAACTATAGATGCTCTACACCATCGATTCGGATATGCAAGAAGCTCATTAATGGGAAAAGTTAACTTCACGTAGCTTCTGCATAGTTTGCTACAATAACTTGAAAAGTTTATCGATCGTGTAGCAATTGATCCGCCAAAAGTAATTATTTTACCATTATATACTTCTAAAATTTTCGAAACGACTTCAGAGACGACTTGCCTTTTATATTCTCTTTTTCATCTTACTTTTTTACTTTTTTTCATCCTTGCACTTGGAATAGATATTTCTGCTTTATTCATTGAGCAAACCTAAAATAAATTTTTAAACTTTTTAAATCACTAATTTAAATGTTTTCTCACTGGTCTTTTATTGTCTCTGTGATTGTTTTGTTTGAAATAAAAATTACAAGAATTAAAAGCTTGAGTTATTTTTGTACTTGTAAACTTATTGTTGAAAATCAACATGTCAATCTATAATAAATGCTCATATTGAAATATATATTTTACAGAAAATTCAATTAAAGAAATATTATGAAACTTTAATAATAAATAAATATTTTATAAACATATTTGATAATATTCTTTAATTTAATTATTATTTTAATTCGAAAGTAAGATAAAAAAAAATTATGAGAAATTATATTTATAATATACTGCGAATGCTCATTTCTTATTTACAACATAGCAAGAACTTTGAAATATTAAAATAAAAAATAATACATACAGTTTTATGATTGAATTTTTGTGCAATAAACTGACTTTCCGTTACAATTTTACATATATTTTATAGAATTTTTTATTTGACGAAAGTTATAATCGAGTAAATAAAAATTTGTTTAATTTTTAAATTTTATCTGATATATCGTATGACTTTATTCGCATACATTCATATTACAATAAATCTATAATTAAAAATACTTGACTAAAAATATATACACTAAAAATATTATATTAGAAATACGAAGGGTATTTATTTCTATTATTATTCAATTATATTTTGTATCAACGGATAGTTAACTTATATTAACATTTCAATTTGAATATTTATATATATAATTATTTTTAAAAATGCTAAGATATTAAAATGAAATTAATAGCAAGTAATATTTTAATATTCGATGCAAATATTGGAACTGGGTGTTCAATATTATTCACGAGTTCAATTTTGATGCATTAATTTAAACAATAATACTGACAAAACATACTATATATTTAATATATATACTATATATATTTAATATAATAAACGCATTTATGTATTTAATAAAAACAATAAGTATATTCATTTGTTTTATAGTACAGAAATAGTAGGTATATACATTCTATACAAAAGTTTTTTAAATAAATAAAATTTATTATAATTTTATAATTACTTTGAAAAAATTATTGCAAATTACGTATTCATTACATTATTCCATAAACTTAATGCTCAACATTAATCTTTTTACTTTTTTACGAGTAATTTAATATGATTAATACCTTTTTCCAATTCAATTTCTGTTGTTTTTTAACTTATCTATAACTGAATAATGAATATGAAGTTAAATAATAGTTGTACTGAATTATCATCTATTCCATAAATTCAATTTTAAGTCGAAGAATTAAAAAAACTGCAG